TTCTGTCTTGTTGAACTTTGATACTAGTGCTGGAGCAAGATGGTATCTCATTGTTGTTTTGATTTGCATCTCTCTAATGTCTGATTTTTTAAAGTTATTTTTATAAGCTTATTTTTCCTAACAGCTCTCTTCCCCTCTTTCCACATACTATTGAGATATAAACACTCAACTAATATAGCATCTGCTGTTAACAGAGCTATTTAGGATACTCTTAACTATTTAGTGATTTTCATGATTGTACCTGGACTCCAGAAAGTTAGCAGCAGTTGCCTGTCACCACACTAGAATCCACTCCCTGACTGATGTTGTAATTCCAATCTGTACACATGGGCAGCCATTGACAGCCCTGACCATCTGTTCTTTTATTTCTTGACCCACTTCAGATGCCTCCTGTTCCCAAGGTTCTCACTTTCTTCCCAGCCGTACTCCTTGTAGTTCTCTACTAACTCTGACTAGGAATCTTGACTCCATACTACTTTCAGCCTTCATATGCCATTCTAGATTCTAATTTACCTATTTCTTTAACCACAGTTAGCATAGTGCCTGGCACATGGTAAGCACCATCTTATATTCTTTATACTATTAGCTGATTTAATATAAAATGAAGTAGGACTTACTAGTATTATAATTTATAGAGGAAGAAATTGAGGAACAGAGTATTAAATGTACTTGCCCAAGATTTCAGAGATAATCAATGCTAGAGCTTAGATGTATAGCCAGACTGTCCTAGTGTCGCTCAAGTCTGTGTTTCTAACTGTGCTGCTTGTATATCTACAGGGGTTGTTCATTGTCTCATTTATTTAAGTTTCAGTACCTTAATCTCTTGTTTAACCTGTGGAACCCATGACAAATTTTCTTCCTCCCTCCTGTAGCTAAATTAGGGAACATTTATCCAGGGGGAAAATAATTAAACATTGCCTCTTTTCCTCTTCTTCCCAGCCAATTATGTGTACCTCTAGTAGAGAGAGGGAATATTTTAGCTTTATTCTGCTGGGAAGTTTTGTAAAATAAACCTTTCCATGCCCAATTCTGATACACCCCCCAGGTGTAAAGAGCCCAGTCGAGAGTTTCTGTGATACTAAGCCAGTGGGTATGCTGCATTTATGAGACATGTTGTGATAGAAAAGACTTGAGAACCACTAATGTACAAATTTATTTTGAACCAATTGTAAAACTTTCATCTGTCTCTGTATTGAGAAGCCAGTTGTATATATTTTGTCTGAAGGAGTAAATTTAGTTACGTTTATATTTTGTTTACCTAGTGTCACTCTGAAAGGAATATACCACAATGGGATGGCTTGAACAAACAGGTGTTCATTCTCTTACAATTTTGGAGGCTTTGAGTCCGAGTTCAAAATGCCAGTCTCTAGAGGCTGAGTGAAAGCCCCTCAACTTTGGGCTTCAGCTCAGCCTTCTGCTTCCAGCTCACTGAAGCTAGACGCTTTTCTTCACTCAGACAGCTGCTGGCTACTGAGGCTGACAGGCTCCAGGTTGACAAGTAAAAAGGCACAATCCCAGTGTTACCAGACAACATGGCAGGCTAATAATTCAAGTCCAGATGACATCCCAAGATTGGCAGAGGATGGCAGGCTGTTGAACAACAACATGGCTACATGCAGGGTTCAAGCATGCCAAAAGGCTAGAGACCATTCCCAATGCTATTTCTTACATACGGGAAGCAGACCACGTCCCTAAAGCAGCTACTCAGCTGCTCCAACAGATTCCACCATGGAGTTTATTTATTACCAGTCTCACCTTGGGGAGTAACTCTATTCAGCTGCCCAGTCACTTAACTAGGCCCAGCGAAGTTGACATAAACTTAACTACTACAGGATATATTCATTAAAAAAATACACAATGCAAAATTTTAACAATGAAAATACTTAACAGGGTCAAATTTTTCTTTTCTGATCTTTTATTGAATGGATAAAGGCATTGTCTAAACTGAACATGATAAATGTTTTGCTTTCTTTGGTCAAATTTGCATTTGAAGAGCTGTTATAAGAAAAATCTGCCTATAAAAATTCCAATATGTTGTTAGAGTGGATTTCATTTTATCTTATTTATATCACATATCAGTCTTTTGCCTCATGTTTGTCATGTAAGTTATAAATGTCTTTCCTAGGTATTGCTTATCTTGAACATTCTTAGAAATGTATCTGGCTGAATAATTGTGTGTGACAATATAATCTACAAGATTGAAATATTTTTTTCAACTTTAAATGCAAGACTAGGTTTTTTTCTTCCTTTGGAATGTAATGGAAGAATAATAGAAGGTAAATGTTACCTGTGCATTTAGCTGATTAACTGTCACTCATCTATGATTGTTGCACCACTTCTCTGTTCAATGTATGGCCAATGTAGTACAGTAACAATACATTTTTAGTGGCATTATCAGCATTGGTAAAATAAACTCCCCATTATATTAACTAAAGCTGTGCAAACAGATTTACTTCTCATGTGTGTTCTGATAACTGCAGAAAAATCACTCTGTGTTTGGTTACAGTCAGACCTAAAGTACATGAAGGCAGAAAAATGAAACCATTAAAAAAGAAATAAGGAACCAAAACCGAATAACCTTTGGTGTAGGGCTCCTTGAAAGCCAAGGACATTATTTGCCTTTGAATATGTTTTATCATTTCATTTATTCTCATTATTTTCTGCTAAGTTGTGATTTCACTGAGAGCTTCCTGGGAAGTAAAATGCTTTCTCAGGAAAGTATGCTGCACTTTTTTAAGTTCTTCCCTGTAAATGTTTGCATATTGGAGAATTAAGAATTTAGGAAATAATTTTCAGACTTTCCGATCAGTCATTTCAGGGATACTTTACCTTGAAATTAGCAAACTTAAGTTGTTTTTGAGATGACAAATTTAAAGTATTACTCAGTTTTCTCTTTCCATCTTTCTTTTTTCCTTCTTTAGTACTTGCTGAGTAATGTTTTTAAAAAAGTGATGACACATTTTTTAAATACTTTGAGAAGAGGCTCTGTTTTTGTAGTAATTACTGGAGACCTAATCATTTTAATTTTCTTCAAACCAATGCAGTGGTAGGGAAGTATCTAAGTGTATGCAAGATGGGTAATCTCGTTAGAATTTAGAGTTCTCTTTAAACTTTGACTAAATTTCATGTGTTTAATGTTACAAGGCTTACTGAAAGTGTAATACCCACATTTTCAAACCAGTTCTAGTAATAGGAAATATTTATATAACATTTTATAATTTTAGAAGCATGTTTACTACACTATCTTAATTTTTTTTTTTTTTTCAGAAACTGTCTTCTGAAGTAGGGAGGTTAAGTATTATTCTCATTTTAGAGACAGGATCTAGAGCTTAAAGAATTTAGGAAATAACATTTGTCAGTAGTAGAGGTGGTAGTGGGAGCTCTGGTAGCATAGTGGCTAAAGGCACTTGACTGCTAACTAGAAGGCTGGTGGTTCAAACCACCAGCCACTCCTTGGAAGGAAGATGGGGCAATCTATTTCCGTAGTGATACTGCTTTGGAAACCCAAGGAGGGGTTGCTATGAGTCAGGTCCAACTCGATGGCATATAACAACAACAACAACAGAGGTGGTAGTAGAAGTCACAACTTCTCTTATATCAATGTTCTTTCCCTTAGGATTCAAAGTGCTTATAAAATTTGGGGAAGTCTCTTTCAGGTGGCTTGTAGGAAACCTGACATTATTTCAGAAGAACAAAGGAAGAACTGTTTGTCTGGAACCTCTTATTTCAGTCCTTAAAGGCAAACCTCATTCTGCTGTGTTCTTTAAGGCTGGGTCTATAATGGGGATGGTTCTTATAGGAGAACAGTTGTACGTCCCTGTAGTTGTGTAGGAGTAAACCATCTCTTGTACACTCAGTTTAGGAATATTTTTGAGTGTCTGTAAGAACAGCCAATCTAGACTCAGCAACATAATCCAGTTGGAAGGAGATAATAGCAAATCCAGAGATGATACTGGCACTATCTCTGTGCTTCTTCTTACCACTGCTTTTGGGAAATAGGAAGGAAAGTTCCTACCCTCCATGAGCATAGAGGTTCCTCTTGTAATCTATTGGACAAATACACACAAGGTCATTTCAGTTTCTAGTAGGAATCTATAGTGTAGAGCCACTGAATTTGCCTGTAGTTACACAAATACTTTTGGTGTTCTCATTTTCTGTCTTCCTTCCTCATTAAGAGGTAGTGAGAATAGTATGTAGTGTCTATTACTAGGACAAACTCTTGGTATATTTTGTGTCTAATGGCATGTTAATGTTGTGCAACTATAGGATTGACCTAGTCAGCGATGACATTCTCATCTTCACTTTGGAGTTTACTAATTGGAAGAGACTTCCACCAACTATTGAGAAGCTGCTCTGTGTTCGTGCCTCAAATTCCTCTTGGGTTCTACAGCAACATATTGGTAAGACAGTATAATTTTTTTTTTTTTTTTTTTAATATACTATTCTTCCTTCTCAAGCTATGTTGTAATTTTAAGTGAAAAGACTCACTAGAGAACATAAATTGAATATAATTTGCATTTCCTTAGGTAGAGTTTGGAACTGTGGAGGATAGTGAGATGATAGAAATTTCCGTCAACAAAAATCCTATCTGGTTTTATAAGTTTAGCCTTTAGAGCATATTACGAAAATTAGATGTTTACTGACAGTATTATTTTAAAACATCCTTTTATTTTTTAATAAGGTTTATGCAAAGTGGGTCCTAAAGATCTTGTTGGTGAATATTTAGCTTGTGGTCAGAAAAATGTTAAACTTAATTTTCTTCTTTGGACTGTGCATGGAGTTGTATTCCCTCTGCAGTACTAAAAAGTATTACCATCCATATTTATACTTGTCCTTACTGAAGGTATGCCAGTGTGTTGGCATGATATCACTATGAACATGAGCTGGGTGAAAATTTTGTGAGCTGATCGATATTTTAAATGATTGTTAAACAAATTGTCAACTTATCCTCACTAATAAAATTTTAGTCTAATTAAGAAAGTAAAGAACACACAATGGGGAAGATTTTGCACAAGGAAACCAGTTTAAACTGAACTTAATGTATGCAAAGTATTTCTATTTACTTATTCAAATGTATTTTACTGTGACTATATTTTGTTAACCAGATTATGTCTTAAGTTAGAAAAATTGTTTCTTCACTGATATTTTTACATGAAATATAACTCTTCATAAAATATTTTGAATAGGTTTTTAACAAATGAACTTATGCATATGTAGAAATGTATCTTAATCTCTTAGAAAATTACACTTAAGTAATTTTCTCAATCAAAAACAGACGTTCAGGAAAATATGCTTTTGAACTGAGGTGTAGTCAAGCTGTTAGATTTCTGTTGAAGAAAAGGTAATCTGTTTGGCATCCCTGAGCCTTTCAGTACAGAATTTCTTTAATGATAATGTTGGAAAACTCACTTGTGTGTAATTTTTAATTTTGAGAGTTGCATCTGCTTTTGCTAATTATGTATCTGCAGCGGAGAACAAATATCTATTCAGAACAGACAGAATGTGGGGCAATGGAGTTGGGAACAAAGAGTCAAAAGAGGGAGCATATGCCAAATGGGAAAATTATTGCGCTTATCAATTAGTAAAGATATGTGCGAGTTTACTCTGAAGACCTCAGCATATGGCAGGTTTGTCCAGATGAAGGTAAAAATTGTGCACAAGTACATTACCCTCCAATAGACAAAATCCATCAAGGGTTTCTTGTTTAATTATGCACTAGGTAGAGCTTGTGTAGGGTAATAATCATCATCTCTTAAGAGGATTTTATTTTGGCTGAAGATTTGAAAAAGCATTTCACAGAGGTATTCATCTAGCTAATGCTCTTCTGGGCTATTTCTTCAGCCAGGTCTTTTTTTCCTGGTTCCAGACCCTTACATCTAACCGCCTTTTGGACATCTCCAATTGGTATCCTGTATTTTGACATATTCAAAATTGAACTCTCCTTTTTTTTTTTTAAACAAATCCTATTGTTCCTTTTGCCTGTTTCTAATTCAGGAGATGAGGTGGTTTGGGAGTACCATTTACCAATAGAGTGACTTATCTCTGATAGCTGCTCATTGTACTGGGGTGATTATGCTCCCCAGAGAACGTTTGGCAATGTCTGCAAACATTTTTGATTGTCACAGCTAGGGAAGGGCTGCTGTTGGCATCTAGTGGGTAGAGGTCAGGGATGCTGCTAATAAACACCCTGCAGTACACAGGACAACCTGTCACCCCAACAAAGAATTATCCAGCCCCAATGTTTACAAGTATACAATTTGAGAAACCCTGATCCACAATGGCTCTTGCTTCGCAGTTGTAAAAAGCCTTTTAAATCCTAACCCAGGAAAGATTTGTAACCCTTTCTTTATTGCAAACTATGTAGGGAAAGCTTGTGTTCTTCTTCCTGGTTACATTGGTCTCTCGGGGTGTTCTTTCAATTTTTTTTGGCAGAGTTGGAGTCATTATTGCTAGAATTTTAGTAAGGCTGGGAGGAAAAGATCTACCCATCTACCTGATTGCCTGAGTTTCAAGTGGGATTGTGAATCTCTTCCTTTCTATAGTTCAAGGCTTTTCTTGGGGCACCCGCTCTGTTTCTTCCTTTAATTGTCAAGATGCCCAGTTTCTGCATATTGATCATCTGCACTCTTCTCTCTTTTCTCCGGAGTTTCAGCTGCAGAATTAGAACTTCTAATAAACAGAAACATGGTCAGGTTTAAGATCAATGGAAGTAAGCCCAGAAAAACTGCTCTTTGGTTACCTCTCTAAACATATGGCAGTCTTTCTTTCACCTTGCTTTCTCTAATAACTTATCATGATATTAACAACAATCAATAGATTCCTTCTAAGTTTTTTTAAAAGATGTTTCTTGCAGCTGTGCCCGTTAGTAAGCCTCTAGATAATTCTCAGCTCCTGAGCTCCTTAGGTATGCAGTATCTATCCCTAGAGAAAGATTTCCCTATTTTTTTCCCTCAAATCTCTTTCAAGTCCTGGAGATGCTATGTACTTGGTCAAAATTCTCCTTTCCTCACCCTTTTCCTCCCAGGAAGTAAACTTCATGCCTTAATACTTTATAAACAAGAAAGACATCTAGCCCCTTGCTACTTATCTTTTAATCACCAAGTCAGATTTGTCTTCACCAGGTTTCTTGCATCAGAAAGGAAATGTATCCAGGTAAAAGTTACTGAGTAGTTACAGCTTTATAACATTTTCAAAAAATCATCTGCCTTATATGCAGGTAGAAATATCACCTCAGCCACATAACAGTGTTGTTGTTAGGTGCCATCCTGTTGTTTCTGATTCATAGTGACCCAATGAACAACAGATTGAGATACTGCTCAGTCCTGCGCCATCCTCACAATCATTGCTATGCTTGAGCTCATTATTGCAGCCACTGTGTCCATCTATCTCATTGAAGGTCTTCCTCTTTTTCTTTTTTTCCCCTCTTTTTTTTTTTTAATTGACACCTTACTTTACTTGGAAGGAAGGTTGGGCAATCTAATTCCGTAGTGATACCCCCTTGGAAACCCAAGGAGGGGTTGCTATGAGTTGGATCTGACTCCACAGCAGTGGTTGCTTTTTTACTTTACTTTTGGAGCTCTGGTGGTGTAGTGCCTAAGGCATTTGACTGCTAATCAGAAGGCTGGCGGTTCAAACCCACCAGCCACTCCTTGGAAGGAAGATTGGGCAGTCTACTTCCATAGTGATACTACCTCAGAAACCCAAGGAGGGGTCACTATGAGTAGGATCCGACTTGATGGCACTGAATTTGTTTTTTTGGTTTGGTTACTTTACCAAGCTCCCAGTGGCCTGGATCCTAGCAACCAGAAGCCTCTCATGGTCCTCAATAAAGGCATAGAGAACCTCCTTCCTGAGCGACCTGGGAAAAAGAAACCAGTGGTTCAGGAGATGGCAGACGCTATCGATTGCCATCTTGGCAACATGCTGCAGCAGCTACATAGTGTCAATGCTGCCAATCCCTTAGAGCGGAGGCTGGTGAGGCAAGAGGAAGCCAAAGGCCCCGCCTGCACTCCCATCTTGTGGATCAGCAAGTGGGTGGACTATTCAGACAAGTATGGTCTTGAATGTCAACTGTGTGACTACAGTGTGGGTATGCTCTTCAACGACTTGACCTGCCTCATTCTCTGTAACGATGGCGAGAGCCTGCAGTACATTGAGCATGACAGCAGAGTCCTACCTCACCATCAGTTCCCATCCCAACTTCTTGATGAAGAGGATCACACTCCTTAAGTATTTCCAGAATTAAATGAGCGAACACTTGTTAAAAGCCGGTACCAGTATAACTCCATGGGAAGGTGATGAACTAGCCCAGGTACCCTACCTGTGCACCTGGTTCTACACCTGCAGTGCCATCATCCTGCACCTCAGCAATGGCTTTATGCAAATCAACTTCTTCCAGGACCATACCAAACTCATCCTGTGCCCATTGATGGTGGCCGTGACCTACATCAACAAGAAACAGGACTTCTGCATGTGCCTCCTGAGCCTCCTTGAGGAGCATGGTTGTTCCAAGGAGCTGGCCAGCCACCTCCACTACACTTGCACCACGGTGGACAAGCTGCTGAGCTCACACTCTGCCACCATCTGCTTCAGAGCCTCTCATAGCCCTCCCACCCTTTGGACTGGTGCCCCTCTTTGCTTGCACCAGCACTTGGGGCCTACACTGATCAGCCCCTCCATGTTGTTTTTATTAATGTGCTCCCAGCCCTGGGGACTGGGGAAAGAGCTACACCATCCTTACAGGTGGGGGTTACTATGTAAGTTGTTACTATTATTATTATTGTTTTACTTATTCAGGTGTGGGTCTTATAGGCCCTCCCCTTCCCCTCAACCCTACTATATGAGTTGTACAGATAATTTATATTGGATTTTGGACCGTCCTATCCTTGGCTTTAAATACATTAAACATATGTGAATCTTCAAAAAAAAAAATCCTTCTCCAGGGACTGGTCCCTACTGATAACAGGTCCAGAGTACATGAGATAAAGTCTTCCCATCCTTGCTTTTAAGGAACATTCTCACTATCTTTGTTCCAAGATAGATTTGTTTGTTCTTCTTTCAGTCTGTGATGTATTCAGTGTTCTTCCTGACACCATAATTCAAGTACGTCAGTTATTTGGTCTTCCGTATTCATTGCCCAACTTTTGCATGTGCATGAGATGATTGAACATGCCATGGTCTGGGACAGGCACACCATAGTCCTCAAAGTGACATCTTTCCTTTTTAACACTTGAAAGTTTTCATGCAGCAGGTTTCCCCATTGCAATGTATCATTTGATTTCTTGACTACTACTTCCTGGGCATTGATTGTGGATCCAAATAAAATAAAATCCTCAACAATTTCAATCTTTTCTCTGTTTATCATAATGTTGTTTGTTGGTCCAGTTGTGAGGATTTTTGT